ACTTTAGAACTTTTTCAGTATTTCTTTTCCTGAAGCATTTGTAAGTATTACTGCTGCTAACCTCCTGAATCAGGAATGCCTGTTCTTCCTATGCGATTCCTTCCTGCGCGATCCTATCCAACCTTGCCTTTCCTCATTTTCAAAAGGGAACCGTGCCTTTTCTCAGGCTAAACAACAATCTGGAATTATCCAGGAATTGGTAAAACGACACACACAACGTTGCTATAGTGAGACTTTGGGAAATCAGGATATAATGGCCTGAAGCACTATTTACATGCTGTAAATGTTTCTTATGTGGAAAATGTTCAGAGAAGAAGCAAGGTCTAGTGCTCAGAGCAGATAACAGATAAAAGCAAGCAGGCACTATTTCTAGCACTGTGACCTTGGGCAAGCCATTTAACCTCTCTGTGCAGCTGTTTATGCATCACTAATATGGATGGAATTACCTACCTCACAAAGGTGTTACGAGGGCCAAAGGGATGTGGTCGGATGCTCTTGATCCAAATATTGTTAGTCTGGATGCTGTTTTTTTATAGGATCATGCTAACCCAGTAATAAAGGAAACACTGCCATGATTCCTTCCTTTCCCCTTGGGAATACAATTCTCCATGTGAATGTGAAGTTCTTCTGTGTCCTCTGCTTTGCAAAGTACTGCAGTTTGGTCAGTGCATGAGAATCATGTTAGGAATCTGGCAGACAGCAAGAGATGGATGAGGGATTAGTGTATACAAGTGTTCCTTCCTTCATTGCTTATGGCAGCTTGGAGCTAAGCCAGTGACGTAGACTGTGAGCCACGGATATCAGGTCACTAGGACCACAGAGAGGGAGAATGAGATTTCTGTTCACAGTTTTTCCTGTGGTCGTTTTATTTTATAGGATGGTTTAACAACTCAGCTGCAGTTGAAGGAAATATGTTAGTTTAAGTTAAATTTGTAATGTTCAGCATCGGGATTTGGAGTTTTATCAGGTACTGAATGCAGACCTCTCTTCTGAATCTTTCTTAAATGGAAGAATAAATGATTTGCTAGAACAGGACCCATCTCCCAGGTGTCAATCCGTGCCATGAGGCTGCGTGCACTCTGTGTGGAATGCTCCTCACTGCTCACGCTTGCTGCTTTCTGTCTACCTGTCTGTGTCCATCCTGCCCTCCTGCCTTACCTTCGCTTGCTAGCCTTCTCCTCTAGCTCTTGGTGGGTCGTTTGCTTGCTGGATTCAAACGTCAGCCTGTCTGTGTGTGATTTGGGTTGCATTAGAAAATCCAGGAGCTGGAAGCCACGCTGTATAATGCCCTGCAGCAGGATCCAGGCAGGCGGGCGAGCGAGTCGCTGACGGAAGCGCAGCGCGAGGATTTGCGGGCGGCGGTGGAGAAGGTGCGGCGGCAGATCCTGAGGCAGAGCCGAGAGTTTGACAGCCAGATCTTGCACGAGCGGATGGAGCTGCTGCAGCAGGCCCAGCAGGTAATCCCGGTTCTCTCTGCTCCCCCTTGGTGTTGGTGTTACCTCTGTGGTTGCCGCCACTGCCCGTACGACAGCATCGCTTCACCCTCACCTCGTGGAGTTCTGTTCAGTCTGGTCTCTGTACAGCTCCCGTGCCAAGGAGCCCTGTGGTGTCAGGACCTGGTTGTGCTGGGCATGGTGCACACACAGAACAAGTCACTGTCTCACCACAAGGTGCTGTTGCACAACCTTTCATGTCTGAGCGACCACACAGTCTTCCACAGGACTCCAATGGGAACTTGTTGCAAGGTTCAGGCCTAAAGTGGAAAAAGTCAGAATGGAAGGTTGTTAGAGTGTAACACAATGGAAGGAGTAAAGGCAGAAACAGTAGTTACAGGAATCCAAGGGGATTACCACCCTCCTTTTTATTTATTTTAGCTATTTATGAACTCTTTTAAATACAATTAAAAGACTTTCTGAGACTTCCTTTTTTTAAGAGGCCATTTACAAGCTTTCACTCCTGTAAATTCATTCAGAAAAGCCTTGTCTGTCCAAACTGCTTCCTTTAGCACAATTATTGAGGACTTGAATTTGGCAAGGTCCTGGCCTATAGAATGTGGTAATTATTTAGTATTGGTATCATTGCTAATGTTTTTGTGCAAATATTCACTGAAAGAAGAGAGCTGCATGTCTCAGGGTGTTAATCACTTCAGCAGAAATAATTGCTTCCAAGGATTTTGGTTATTCTTTATAGTAGACTCTGGCAGTTGTAGGCAGATGTTCTAGATTTTGAGGACTGCTTGGCTACTTTCTGTGCAAGTCTGAAATCACGTATTGTAAATGCCAAAATGTGCTATGCAGATGGCTCCAGAAAAATGTTGCTGTTACAGGTGCTGGGGCAAGAACTGCTTTTAGTTTAGTCCAAGCCTCTCTCTGTTCAGGTTGGCTTCATACATGAGTATAGATGACACTGATGTAATGTGACCCAGCACTGTTGTGTTCATCTCCTGTCATCCTGCAGTGGTGGGAAGTGCTTATGGTGGCAGTGCTAGACCTGAGCTCTGAGTTCCAAGAAGTTTCCTTTCTCTACTCCTTGACTCTGTTCTGTTGGTTTGGAATGTGTAACATTGAGAGCAGGAGATGAACTTGTTTAATGGGTTATCGCCTATTTTTAGTCATCAACAATGGTGCACAGAAAGCTGGAGAAGGTAGGTACCAGCTGACACCTTTAGTGGCAGCAAATATTAAATTTGGTACATAAGGATGAAGCCAGAAGATATTAGTTTAATGTAGCTGAAAATTAGTGAGAATGGAGTTTTTTGTTAGTCTCTTAGACAGTCCAATTTCATAGCCAGACTGTTGGTGTTTTATTCAAAACAATAACACAGTGCTTTTCAGTTGGGTAAATATTGTTTGTCAACGATATTTAACAGGTAAAAAATACATTGAATGTTGAGTAATGCCTCTAAACCTAAATAATTGTCAATTTCAGACTTTAACATCAGACTAGATATAGTTAGGTCCTTTTCTTTCACCAGGAATGTGGTTTGACATATTCTGTGTCCCTTGTTGGAGTGTATTTTTGGGGGACCTCGGCAGAACCTCTAAGCTGAGTTCATGTAATAGTGGCAAATAGAAAGGAAAAAATAGAAGTAGACTTGTAAAGTGAAACAGTTGTCCCAAAGGACTCAAAAATCCATATTTTCTGCATATCTGGAATTTAATTTAGATTTTGTTCCAATTTGTTCCATGGCCTGCTCGCTATCAATTAAAGAACTTCATATGCACATCTGGAACACATCTTCTGTTAGTCCAGGTTCACATAATCACAGATTGCTTCACAACATAAGGTTAAATATGATGAGTACATAGGAAAACAAAAATTCCAACATAAATATAGCTTCATTAGCCATGGATGTTCATGTACCTGTCTCCAGATCCATTTTATAGGATGCCATTAGAGTTTTGTGTTGTGCCCATCTCATGAGATGTTACAGCCCTGCAGGACATGTTAAACTGAATTCCACTGCTTAATAAGCATCTAAGTATTTTAGTCACCTATTTTTAACACACACACATGCCCTCCCCCACACACATCCCTATTAAACAGGAAAAACAAAGGCAAAGAGGCAAAGATGCTAGTTAATTTGCCTGGGATATTGGAGGGCTAATTCTCATGGGATTGCTTTCATCTCACTAGCAAATGACAGAAGCTGAATGTTACACAAATGAAACCCCACTTGTGCTGAGAGAATCCTAATGAATGGATGAAGCTGCACTAAGTACATCTCTGATAAGTACCCTCCTTTCCTCATATATTTATGTCCAGGAGAGGTTTTGCTGACACTGTGACATCAGCAAGCACACTGCACTTTGTTCTGGCAAAAAAGTTGTCTAGACCTTGCCGGATTTTAGTCTGCAGTGCCTCTACAGTATGTGCAACACTTCTCCCTCTGTGGAAGTGGAGGTTACAGAGAATGATAGGACAACATGATGGACCTGCAAGGCTTAATACAGAGTCTCCTTGTTGTAAGCACTCTCAAACTTTCCCTGAAACAGAAACCATGTACTAAAGACTCCAAATTCTATAAAACTTTGGAAGTTCAATCACTTCAGAAGGCCTGTTACTTTGCTTTCATTACCTTCTGGTCTGCCTGATACAAGGGCTTCAAAAGAACAACTCTGCTTATCTGGCAGGCTGACAACAGTCTGAGTCAGAGTTTCTGTGTCATAGAGTGAGGGTTCAAGGAGATCTGGTGATGAAGAAAGAGTCCCCTCCCTCTGCCTAAAAATGCTCCTTGACTGTACATGCAGGGTGCAGAAATGGAAGGGCATTTGGTGAAAGCTATAGGTTGGTATGCAAGGTTTCATTATAGATTAATTGCTTAATGAAGGGACTTTGAGGATTTAATGTGTGAGATTCTGGTTTTACAGAGCTGGTAAATGTCCTTCCTGGGAAATGACTGTCTGAGAGGGACAGGGATGGGCATAAGGAAAGGGGTAAATGGCTGCCCAGGTTTGAGCCTGTGCTGCTTTATGTGTTCTTCTTTGTCCAGATGTAAAGCTTGAGTTCTTGGACACTGGGTATTGACTTTGTTCCAGTGAAATAAATGTATCCTAGGAATTTAGGCTCTGTATTACATTGGTAGGTCAGTTCTTCTTGGGCATGTATAGCCCCACACGATTACTGTTCATTAGTATATAAATGGAATAATTCATGTATACCCATTGTGCATGAAGGAAACCAGGCCTCTGTGGACCCAAATTAGACAGACTGTGTGATTAGATCTGCTTGCTAAGGCACACAACAGTTTTATTAAACCCAGAGTGCAACATGCAGGTCTGGGGGACAGATCCTCAGCTGAAGTATGTTGGCAGTATTCCCTCTAAGTCAGAGAGGTTGCTCTGATTTACACCATCCTCTCTATTTAGAGGAGGTAAAACATGTTAATTAAAAATCTGTCATGAGCAGCTTGTGATATTTGCTTCCAGCAATTGGGCATGTGCAGATACTGCATCAAAAAGTCTCATTGTGCTACACTGCTATTGCAACCTTTTGGAAATCAATGTCTGGTTTATTTTTAGCAGGACTTCATTTAAAAGTAACATTTGTGCTATAGTCAGTGCAGTGGAATGCCTTTAATGCCTTTTTGAAAATATGAAGGTCATTACTTGCAAGTTCTGTTAAGAAGAGCAATTTTTTATGCATATACTTTGAATCATTTCTAGAGGGAGAGAAAAATGTGTTGTGTAGCTATAAAATCCATCTCAGAGAAAGTATATTTTAAACAGCGCAATACATGTTTCTGAAGTAGTGATATCAACTTCTTAAAAACAAAAAAAAAAAAAAAAAAAAAAACCAAAAAAACCCCCAAACCATAAAACAAAAAACCCCAAACAAAAAAACAACAGCAGCCTAAAAAATCACAGCACAGAAAATCCACACAACATTATGGTAAGTTCACCTTAAAAATATATTGTAATCGTCTTGTCTTCTAAAACTAGTAACTATTTAAATGTCAAATTATGCTTTATATAGATCAAAGAAATTAAAAACCAAAATATATTCTTGTTGGTTTTACTGTAGCTGTTTCTGGAGTATGAAACTGGGGAAAGTCAGCAGAAGCAGGTTTTAAATTAGGATAGATTTATTCAAATTGCACTGTTGGCAGTATTCAAACATGAAGATAATTTATAATAGAAATGTAATTTATTCTGATTTCATCTGAGGTTATTTTAAAACCGAACAGAAGATGGAAAATCCTTGAAGGATAGCAGATTGACACAAGTTCCAAAAATGGCTGCTGCCAGTCAGAAGGTATATGAAAGACAGATTTGATTAATGTAGTCCAATAATTTCCTAGCACAGTCTTATATTTGTATAAAATTGTTAAAAAAAAAGAAAGATAAAAGATAGTTCATTGTGATTTTTTTCCCCCTAAGTTATACTGTAGTACCGTACTAAGCTCAGTGTGGTTTCTTTTGAGTTAGAATATTCTTGGGTGAAGCTGAGTTTTACAGAGTGAAAGAAATCATTACTTTAGTTCTAAGCTTGAATGTAAGACATCTATGAACTACTGAACTCATCCAATTCCAGCTTTAAATAGTTGGAATATAGCTGAAAAAGTTTAACTATGCTTTCATTAAACTAGGGCATTTACTCCTGTGACCAGATCAGATTATTCAACAGTAAGAAGAGCAGAAATCACCACTTTATTTGCAATTTACTAGAAGGAGGCAAATCTTTAGTACAGAGCAGGTACTGACCTCCATGTGCCACTCCACAGAGAAGGGTTCACTGCTGGTGTGATGCCTCAGGCGCTGCTTTTCATGACACCAAGGGAAAGTCAGAAGCACCGATGTTCTTTTTCATCCTGAAATGTCAAAATATCGCTTGAAATTAAGAAACAATAACTAATTTTCTTCACTTTTCTGACCAGCAGTTTTTTTTCTGAAGGCACAGCTCTTCTGGCTTAAAGGCCAAACAAAACTATGGCAAATGCCATTGATCTATGAGTTCT